CTTCTCCTCGGCCGGCGAAATGGAGATAGAGGGTGTTGTAATTGAAGAAGTTCTTGTGGAGTTTCTGAACGTCTTCTTTCGACGGGATTTGACCCTCACGGCTCAATGTCTCAAAAGCCCGTCGATCAAAAAGCGTCTTCAAGTCAAGATTCGACGGGTACCCGGAGAGGGCCGCATCGACGGAGAGTCCAGTTGCCATGTGCCCAAGATGGCGGTGACATCAAGAATGGTGGGGCCGATGGGACCCAGGGGGAGAACCATGATGTTGGTGGCCGAACACCAGAAGCACAGGGCGGCTAGGAGAAGCTCCTTATCGAGAACGACATCCATAGATGAGAGAATGATGGCGTCGTAGATGCCGAGGGCCTTCCATTGCTCGCCGAAGAGCTTTTCCATTCAAACAACCCAAGCTGCCCAGGTTGTAGTAGTCGAAGGCCAGGAGCCTTGAGGTTTCGCCGCATCCCATCTCGACCATTTAAACCCTTAGAGCAAGGGTGATAGGCAGTGCTCCTGGAGAAGTCCAGTAATGGCTGACGTACTGCCGCTTTGAAAAGAGGACCCAAGATTTGGTGAGAAGTGCTCATGTCACTTTCAAACCGTATGGTTTTGATGGAGCTTCGATCAAGAATCTTCTGACACTGATCACATTCCCTTGAAAGCTTAGAGATGAAGGAGGCCATTGTAGGAAGTTTAAAAGGTACGGTGAAGAAGGTTTTTTTTTTCTGAGTTGGGGGATTTGGAGACGAAGACCTGGAAAAAGAACTGCGCTGGAAAACAAGGGAAAGAAATTTCAGAGAGATTTTGAAAGCGTAAAGTATGAATGAGGGATTCTCAGTATTTATAGGATTTTGGAAGGAAGGGCAATCGTTCGAATTTCAAAAACAAAGGGCAAAATCGACCGAAGGAATCGTAATCATGATGAACATTTAGGAAATGCAGTTGAGAAGACCGAGGGTCTCAGGTTTTGGGGGCGCACGATTACGTGTGATGGCGAGATTAATGGCGAAAGACGTTTCGACGTCTGCACGATGACAAGCGGCTCGCAGATTGAGGTAGAGTGGCTAGGTTCAGCCATAAGGTCATGATGGCACGACGGTTCAGGTGGCCGCACGCCTTAGACGTCATTATTGGGATTGGTCGTGTTAGAAGACGCCACATGGCGAGTTGGTTAGCAGGATCAAGATCGTGCAATCGTGCTCAATAAATGCACCTTTGAATTAAAGCACTAGGGTTCTGAGGATTACATTCGCTTCTTCAAGGCCGAACCTCGGCCAACGAATTCAAGCCGAGGACCTCAGAAGCGAGGGGGTAATGTTTGGGCCCAAAATAATAGTTTGGGCCGAGTATAGAATCATTTTCGGCCCGGAAGGCCTTGCGACAAGAATACCATGGATCGTTCAGTACGTGGGCCTCCAAACCTAGGTCGGCTAGGTCATAACGCAAGAAGTCGAGTCCTAGTGCAATGAGGAGTCTCGGCAGGACCCGGAAGCGAATCCGGCTCGGTTAAGGACTAGGTTCACAGTCCTAGCGAAAGTAGGACTGGTCGAGTTGGTGCTGATCAGGAGAAGAAGACCTAGTCCGAGTAGGTTTTTAACTCGACCTTGGGGGGAGCCATTGTTATAAATAGAAGAGGCTGCGCATCATTCAAGCCCCTGCAAATCAATACAAAACTGCCCTGCGCAAACTCAACAACTTGAGATTTTTTCTTTCTTTTTCGCTGACACATCTTCCGTTGGCATCAACAACACTGTGAAAGCAACCGGTGATATCTTAAGTCGGCATAGATAGCTCTGTCACGGTAGAATCAGCCGGTCTCGCAGTATCTTCCGTTGGCATCAACAACACTGCAGCGAGGACGGTTGATTACCTATCCAAGTCTCGGTCGAGAAGGATTTATGAATCCTTATTGGTCGAGGTCATCTCATCAGCCTTTTCGGCAAAGTGAGGTGTTACAGTTATTACATTCGGCACGTTGAGAGCCGAATTTGATATTGAACTTTGTAAGAATAGTAACCTTGTCTTCAGGTTCGAGAGCCCAAGAGGCCGAGACGTGTTCCTTTCTCGGCCGCAATCGCAAGACGCAGAAGTCAGCCGCGCACCCAACACAACATCAACAAAATTTACTCCTCGGCCGAGCTCGGCCGACGAGTTGGCACGCCCCGCATTCACCGAAGGACGTAGTTAGCTTATAGATTACTCGGCCTGCGCGCCACGTAGGCTTGGTAGTTTCTTGGGTCAACAGATGCTCATGAATGATGCTCATGAATGTTAACATGAATGATGCTCATGAATGTTGACATGAATGATGGTCATGAATGTTTATGTTTGATTGTCATGAGTGATGCTCATGAATGTTTATGTATGAATGACATGAGTAATGGTCATGTATAATTTGGAGTACTGGGCGTACTTTTGATCACCTGGTTGGTGGCATGAAGGAGAGTACGGGTTGTACATTTCATCACCAGGTTGGTGGCATGAATGGCTAGCTGCCAAATGATATTAGAGTACGGGTTGTACATTTCATCACCTGGTTGGTGGTAATAGTGGCAGGTTGCCAAATAATTTTGGAGTATTGAGCGTACTTTTGATCACCTAGTTGGTGGTAGTAGAGACGGGTTGTCGAATAATTGTGGAGTATCAGGTGTACTTTTGATGACCTGGTTGGTGTTATCTTAGGCTTATGGGCCTTCGCTCTTCACACAACATTCCAGCCAATTTCTTTTGGGTTTTGCTTTATTTTATTTTATTTTATTACCCTCTGATGGGGTTTATACAAATGTCTCTGAAAGGTACGAAAAATAAATTACATCATTCAGAAATAAATAAAGCAGTCGGTGCGTTGCTTTTGCTTTTATTTTCTGCTTTGCTTTTGCTTTTGCTTTCTTCTTTTGCTTTCTCTTTTCCCTTTCCTTGCGCTTCTCCAAAAACTGAACCAATGATGCTTTGCAAGCATGTGGAATAGCAGAAGCAGATTTGCTTTTGCTTTGCCTTTACTTTCTTTTTCCTTTTCTGTTTTTGCTTTTGTTTCCTTTTCTTTTCATAAAGTCTGTGCCTTGCTTTAACATAAGTGCAGGTGCCTGGGGTCCATCGGCGGCCTGGGTAGAGGTACGAGTTTATGGCTGTGAAGGGCGACGTGGGCGGCCATGGAAGAGCAAGGCCCTGTCAGTGCAGCTCCGGCTCAGGCAACGGTTTATGATGGAGGTGGATCGCGCTGGCATCGTCGGAAATCTGACCTCGTCGGGTCGAGTGAGGCCGTTGAAGCCGGGGAAGACGTTGGGAAGAATAGGGTGGCCAGCGTCACGCTCAACGGTGCACTGAGCACCGATGTTGACATACCTGCTGCAGAGTACCGCCCGGCCTCCAAAGATCCTAACAGAGTGGAGTCTTCCTTCCCCGTCGAACAGGTGGTAGGGGCCCATGCCTCTAAAGCTAAGGAAAAACTTCGTATTTCCTCGAGTTGGAAAAATGATCGGCGAATGGTCAACGATGAACAGAGGGGACGCATACCTGGTTTCAGAATACCTCATCTTCATTTCTTTTGACTGAGACATTGACTTTGTCTCCTTCTGCTGCTGCTGAATTGGTTTTATCTGCAGATTTCTTCCTCCAAAGTCATTGCTTGTGGTCCATGATTCAAATTAGTGAAACTTCACGAATTAACTTTGCACCGACTCTGTCGCCCTGGGAATGAGAGACGTAGGATAGTAACCAAGTCTAATTTTCTGCCATGTAGCACGTATATGCTATACATGGCCTTCAATCAGCGCTAGCTGGCTCTTTGTGGATGATAATGGAGCCCGGATGGCGTCTGAATTATGAAATTTTGAGGGTATGTCAGGGTGGGAGCGCATCGGGGAGATGTAGGCGGCCAGTGGCTGCTTCCTTGAACCAAAATAGCATGGAGAGCTCTCAACTCCACCGTTTTGGGCAACGGCGGCTTGGATTTCCTGCCTCAGGATGAAAAATGTGAGTCTTCATGCAGGAATTCAATCCTGTATTTTGGCTCACGAGAGCTGCGACGAAATGCGCCACATAGGTGAGCTAGGATGATCTGATTGGCGGAGACGAGGCAGCTCAGAACGTACAAAACTTGAACCAAAAACACCAACACCCTAAGCCAATGAGCTTCTTTGTCTTGGTTCTTATGGATTTTGATAGGATGAGAGCATGTGAAGCACAAAGAAACTGGGAGATGGGTTTTTTGGATTTTTTTTGTTTTGTTTTGGTTCCTGTAATTTGTTTTGATATGTTTTCTGATTGCTACGTAGTGGTTGTTTGCAGAGAGAAAGATTGGTTTCTGCGGGGGTATCTAGATTTCTGGGAAAGCTTTGGATTTTTTTTTTTGTAGATTTTGCAGATCCACGGTGGATATGAAAAAATGAAAGAGAACCGACACAACCTTTCGTATCGATTCCCACAGACGGCGCCAAATGTTGATGCACAAAATCGGAGGTCTTGGAACAACGTAAATCCGACCGTGAATCTGCATGTAATGTAAATAACACAAGATGTATCGTGGTTCATCCCAAGGTTTGGGCTACGTCCACACTGATTGTGTTTATCTAAAGAGTATTTGTGAGGGAGAGAGTGTGAGAGCTTTGCTCTAGATAGGAGAGACTTAGGGTTTGTGAGGGTGAGGAAGCCCTTTTATAGAATAAAGGCTCCTCCCCTAATTACATATTTGCCCATTCCTTTATTACATAATTACATTTAAGTCCCTCGAGTATTTATACGAGGTCTAAATACGAGGCCCTAAATATGGTATAAACAGTCATAACTAGAAAATTGGGAAATAGGATGAAACGAAAGATATGAGAAATCCGAACTGCTGAAATAATATTAATGACATATTGACAAAGTCTCGAAAAGTGATCATTTCAACATATCACCTATTGATTGGCAAAAAAAAAAAAAAAACATTTCAACTATTGAAATTTGTATTTTGCGATTTAGAACCAAATATATTTGCAAATCAAAACGAATGCCATAGTACAAACCTTCCCCAACTCTAACGTGCTTTGGATATCGGCTTCGGTAGGCCCCGCTAACGATATTGGTTGTGTCAAGCTATACTGACTGGCCGCCACAACACTCGGTCCTTCTGAATTCTCCATCTCAGCAGATCGGAGCATCCAAAGAATTGTCAACTACAAGAAATAACGTCAACTGCAAGGAAGCTCTTGCAACTTAAAAGGTCCTTTTTCAGGTTTGACTTTTATGGTTGACTTTATTCAGTCGTTTTTTACCTTCACATGATGTATGTATAGACAATAATATTATGGTTGCTAACTTGTCTTACAAACGGAGAGAAATATGATTACAACATAGTGGTTCACTGATAGTGACCATAGAATTACCCTTTTAGTTCCACTATGGCCAAATTTATTCATCACTTCTCCTTGGGGTTATTATCCTTACAATCTCTGAGTCATAAAATAATAAAAAATCATATATACAAATAGATGGAGTGTATATATATAGAGGGAGAGAGAGAGAGAGAGAGAGAGAGAGAGAACATTCAGACGAGAGAGAATCGCTAAAGGAAGTAACTTACGGCATGAAGCTGAAGTCGATAAAGAAATATTCATAACTGCTGAGTTTCACCTCATAAACCGAATCCAAGGTCTTGATGTAGCATTTTCCCCCTTAACCAACAATTCGGAATGTGGTGATTCACAGAGGTTGACGATAAAGACGATGTTCATCTCTGACAATTTGAACGAGAAAAAAATTCAAGTTCCCCAAACGAACTATATACTCTGTCCACACTCCATCATCGTCGTAAATCCTATAAAACTCGTGGTGGTGTTCCAAACCCTGCAAACTCCAAGGCTCACTCATAGAATACGTACTACAATCGAAGGAAAACTTTATAACCTCCCCAAATTTGTGTGATGAAGCATTTATGTTTGTTGGAAAATATTAGTATTTTAGGTAATGTATTGTTTGGATTTTCTTATTAGTTTAGTTTGAGCCTAGCCTATTAGTATTAAAGTTAGGTTTGTTCGTTATAAATATAATGCTTCGTAGCTTCTTGCAGCTTTGTAGCCATTTCGATATTTTCGTTTGTTTAATAATCCTTTTATTAGTTTGTAGTCTTATTTTACTGATATCAAAACAGGTTTGATCTGTTTCTGTTCGTTTGAGTATGTCTGTCTTTGTTTTTCCAGTTTCGTCTTGTGGAATTTTTCTCGTTCTCTGGTTTGGGTTAGACCCTTGTTTGCCGTTAAAAGAAAATAAAAAAATAATCCAGTGTTTGATCTGCCTTGAACCAGTCCTGCCACCCTGTGTCGCAACAGTCCCGCTGCATCTGCTCGCTTCCGCAACCTGTCATCCCCCCTCGATATTGTCCAAGTACAGATCTGCTGAAACCCATCCTATGTACCTTAACCAGCCATGCCTACGCCGCCGCCTTCCGACGAACCCAGTTCCGTCTCGTCTGGAACCACCATCTGGAAAAGCCATCGCCGAACCGCTTGCATCCATAGCACCGAAGGAACCTGCAACCCAGATCCCAGCCCGCGCTACTGCTGCCTGCAACCCCAATCCGACCCGCCGATCTGACCGATCCACCACAGCACTGCTGCACCTGTCTCGCACCAGCGCCACCCGCTATATGAAGAATCTGGATTTGAGGATCCGCCCCCCTGAGCCTGCTTGCTGTCTTCGCCTGTTTCTTCTGTCTTTCTGCTTTTCTCTTATCTGCCACCAACCATACACAGATGAGGAAGGACAGAAAAAATAAAAAAGGAAAAAAGAGAAGGGAAAGAAAAAAAAAATTGTTTGCTGTTGCGTTAGGCCCACACGGGCAAAGGGTAAAAATGGTTAAGTCTGTTTTCGGGAATTGTTTTGGGACCGTCACTCAAGTGCTTGGACATGCGATCACTCGAGTGACGGTATTTTGTTTTTATTTGTTCATTGCTACAATTGAGATATGAAAATTTCATCTATTTAGTGATGGGTTATTTCCATACTCTTAACACTAGCTAGTCTGAATCTGAATCTGAACCAGTTCGTCAAGTCAAATCAAGTCCAGTCAAGTTTGCATGCCTGTTAGTTCGCTTAACGGAGCTAGTCCGCATATGCTTGTTCGCAAACCCAAAACAAACTCATGTCGTATATTGCCATGAATCTGAATCTGTCTTTCTGCTTTTCTCTTATCTGCCACCAACCATACACAGATGAGGAAGGACAGAAAAAATAAAAAAGGCAAAAAGAGAAGGGAAAGAAAAAAAAAATTGTTTGCTGTTGCGTTAGGCCCACACGGGCAAAGGGTAAAAATGGTTAAGTCTGTTTTCGGGAATTGTTTTGTGACCGTCACTCAAGTGCTTGGACATGCGATCACTCGAGTGACGGTATTTTGTTTTTATTTGTTCATTGCTACAATTGAGATGTGAAAATTTCATCTATTTAGTGATGGGTTATTTCCATACTCTTAACACTAGCTAGTCTGAATCTGAATCTGAACCAATTCGTCAAATCAAGTCAAGTCCAGTCAAGTTTGCATGCTTGTTAGTTCGTTTAACGGAGCTAGTCCGCATATGCTTGTTCGCAAACCCAAAGCAAACTCATGTCGTATACTGCCATGAGTTTGACAGGGCTATTGGAAAATATTAGTATCTTAGGTATTTTATTGTTTGGGTTGTTTTTTAAGCTTAGTTTGGGCCAAGCCTATTAGTATTAAAGTTAGGTTTGTTCGTTATAAATATAATGCTTCGTAGCTCTATTGAATAAATTGGTCAAGATGTAACCTCTTGTGGTTTTGTAGCCGGTTCGACATTCTCATTTGTTTAATAATATTCTTATTAATTTGTAGTCTTGTTTGTCGAACTCTGATATTCAACTATGTTATTGCGTGCAATCACGGCCCTCCCCCTGAAAGGATAAGAACCGCATTTATCTGCTTTGACAGAATTCCAATCTCTTCTAGTTACATGAAAAGCACAGAATTTAGATCTTTTTTGGCAGTCAACGAAACCAAAATGTTACTGCGGAAACAGCGTAACCAACTACCTCATACATGCCCAATTTCATACTAGAGGGAATAGGTGGCAGGGACTTCCAAATGCCCTACTTAGGATCATACCGCTCAAAGGTTGGTTTTACAGATTCGCTTGGCCAGTGCGGGTAATCATATTGAGTTGCATGATAATAAAGCTTGCCAAACTGAAATCACAGTTCCATAAGGCTTCATTCCTTTGGGGCCCTTGAAGTTATGGAATGACTTAGTCTTTGTGTCGAAAATGTATCCCCTGAGTAAGTCTGAAGGCGTGGGGATGGTCGAGATGGATGTGTGTATGTGACCTCGCAGCATGTATAACTTGGAGTTGATGTTGAACCTCTCACCCGCCAAGATACTACCGCAAGTAGGGATGGGCAATGGTTATGCGGGCGAGTAACCGCGGTTATTTTACCCATAACCGTTTATGTTCATACCCGTATAACCGTTTACCCGTTGGGTAATTACATAAATGGTTATACCCATAACCATAACCGTTTATAAACGGTTATCCATACCCATAACCGTGTACCCATTTACCCATAACCATTTACCCATTTAACCATAACCATAACCATTTACCCGTTTACCTATTTTTTTGCCCGTTTATCCTTTTTTACCCATTTACCTTTTTTTTCGCCCATCTACATTATTTTTTTTAACAATTTGAAAATTACAAAAGAAAAATTTGTCATAATTTTTATTTTCTGACAATTAAACACCGTTATAAGTACATTTTAACATACATTTCCCTATTTTAATCATTTAAGTCCTCATATAATTCCAATAATTGAAATAATAGTTTACGAACGATATTTTTCTGTATAGCAACCAATCAGTTTTTTTTTTATTCTGAATAGCAACCAATAAATTATGGAAGTTCAGGAACTTGAGAACATTGAGCCTAAAGGAAGAGTAAAAGTAGAGCTTTTTTATTTCTGAATTCCCGAATGATTTTTAAAGCAACAGACCCTATAGCAACAGCTCATAAATCTGTGTTTCTGATAACAAAAAACAACCATACGAAACCAACCAAATTTCATCTAATTCATCACAAAACTGAGTTAACCCTCTATTATTTCATATAATTTCATCTAATTGAAATATGTGTTTCGAACACGTTCAATCACAAAGTATCATCGACTCGTTGTCACCAAAAGAGGCCTACAAAAGAAATGTATAATTGAATTAGTATGCATAAATTGAATGAGTGTCACCAAAAGAGGACATGTTCTAACATGTGAAAGTAAAGATGAAGTACCAACAGTGGAGCCCGATGCTAGCCTAGCTTTACAATGGTTACAGACAGCCTTCACCTCCCCACAAAAACTTTTTTCCTCAAAATGCTGCCAGACAACTGAGGTTCTTTTTCTCTTCCTACCAGTGTCATCAAAGCTTGATTCACTTAGGTCCAATTCTTGATCAAGATTAATTGGTTCAATATCTTGGTTCTCGCTTTGAGTCTCCATCTTGGAACTAGTTGAAACAGTTGAATACAAGTTCAGAATATAAAAGAAAAACAGGATATCAATTGATTCGACATTTTGGATGCCAAGAGCAAAAAATCATAACACACTCGGTCTGAACATAATAAGGACATCTCTACAACAGTACATGGGAACTAATATTGGGACTGTGTCCACGAAAAGCTTAAACATTACAAGCAAAAATTTAAACTGCTCAGAAATTGCTCTCTGAATCTTTCCTTTTCTCCATCCACCCCCACTCTTCTCTATTCTTGTTCTGGATCATGACATAGCAAAAATTTAAACTGAACCCACAATAATGACATAGCAATTTGAACCTACTGAGGAATGGAACTTCTGGAGTGGATAACGTATAAACTTTTTCTCTGTAATCTGCAGTGATATCATAGCTAAGAACCCACTCACTAGCACCAATGATAAATGCAAAAACTCTTTACGATTGGGCCACATCTACATGCACACAAACACAAAAGACACATCCATTCTCTTAGAAGCAGTAGCCTCAACGATTACGTAGTGTGTTAAGTTTATAATAATATGCAAGTATTCACTCAACAGTAATATCTCTGCACACAGAAACTTCACACAACAAGAACTTACATTGATTGCCCAACCTTCATTTCTTTCACAAGTTTGTTCCCTCTATTTTCATCAATGTATAATATTTGCTACCATTCATAGACCTATTTTGTTTCATACGCATTCTAGTTTCAACAAAAAAAGCTCGTTCTTACTATTCATATGTATGATAATTGCAAAAGAAAAGCTCATACCACAACAACAACAAAGCCTTAGTAAGGTCGGCATTGAATCCTAGAATGCCAATAGAAATATGTTTTCTCAATGTTCTTCAAGCTTCAACATGTCTAAGCTTCAATCAAACTAGTTATATCATTATGTATTGAGAAAATAACCATCCAGAGGTTAAGAGTTAAGACCTTCATCAATAATGAGCTAGGGAAGAAAACAACAAACTGAACAAGTTTACTGTGAACATAGGTTTTACAGAAACACACATCGGTTCAGCAAACTTTTACCTGACAATAAGAATGTTCCCATAAGGTTCATTCAACCAAATAGGAATAAGAGATCAAATATCTAACGTATTCCAGCTGGATGGAAGTCCAATTTCCAAGTTCCCTCCACAATGCTACATTAACTCGATAAACATAAAACCCAAACCTAAAAACCACAAAGGAAACACAAAAAAAATAATTTCTAATTTATCAATCTCCAGTTTCTTCAAATAGTACACAAACACATTAAAATTTATCAATTTCCCTTTCACTTAAATACGAAAACCCACATCAGAAATCCCGAAATTGCAAAGACCCAGATCCTAATTTCAAATTACAACTCACAAATCCAAAAACCCTATATCTCACATTACAGCAAAAAGTTCTTAGTCATTTAAATTTCACAAACCCTAAATCTCAAACCCTAAATTACTAACTAATTAATTACTTTCCGAATTCTAAGGACGGATAAACAGATTAAAATTTTCAACAAGAGTATAGTTCATAGCAAAAACCGAGGAAAAGGAAAGAAGCTTACAAATCACTCTGGTGCTTGAGCTTCCAAAACACTGAATAATTCCAAGGCGAATTGCTGCAGAGGCTCTTCAGCAACTGCCTCAGAGCGAGAGCGACGTAGAGAGAGAGCGAGCGGCGGAGAGAGAGAGCGACGTAGAGAGAGAGCGAGCGGCGGAGAGAGAGAGCGACGGAGTAAGAGAGAGTGACAAAGTCGAGAGGCGGAGAGAGAGAGGCGCAGAGAGAGAGCGACGGAGAGAGAGTTACGAAGTCGAGAGGCGGAGAGAGAGAGGGACGGAGAGAGAGAGAGAGTGACAGAGTTGTAATTTAATTTCTGAGGGTTTTTTAATTTTTTTTTTAATTTTACATATATTAAATTAAATAGCTAAATGGATACCCGTTATAACCATGAATATTACCCATAACCAATGGATACCCGTTATAACCACGGATAATACCCATAACCGGCCATTTAAATTTCATAGATAAACGGTTATACCCATAACCGTTTATTTGTCTAAACGATTACCCATAACCATAACCGTTAACTTTAAATGGACGGGTAACCGTGGTTACCCATACCCATGGGTATTTTGCCCATCCCTAACCGCAAGTGAGATCCACAACGCCCTTATCAAAGAACTTGGTTAAAGGATGAAGCATAGTGGTCGGTCTTGATGATGAAGTCCAATTGCACCTCTTCTTCCCCCCTAAACTTACTCCATATCATTGTCGGATTTTTACTTCATGTAGCCAACGTTCATGCGGACCTTGATACGGATTTTCATGAAAGTGCACTAATGCGAACACAGATATATAATTAGTGTCGTGCTGCTTTACCAACGTCGGACACTCCCCGTCTCCCTCCATATGCAAGCTGGACAACAAGCCTAAGGGAAATTTGAATAAGTAATCAAAATTTGGACCTCAAATAGAATATAGTTATTTTTCTAAGTTTATGATAATTATAACCAAAAGTTGATGTACAATTACTAATTTACCCATAATGACTAAAAATAAACTTCCTCTTTTCCTCTTAATCGTGAAAAAATTCGCCGACGACGTCCACCCGCAAGCCATTGAGTGCAGATCATGGCTGCTGCCATGACTACGACGTTGAGCCCCGTCTACCTAAATCTTGCAGTCCTCCCTGCTACCTTGCCACTTAAGCTCTCTCCCTGGCATGACCACCATGTAGGTTCCGCAAGCTCGATAATTATGTCTCCCCACCTTCCTCTATTTTTTTTCTCCAACACAGACTAGCTCCGGCCCCGCCCCACCCCACCCCACCCCACATGTAGGTTCCAAATGGCCCATAATATCATCCCAAAAAGTGGCCACAAACCCCTTTTTTCTTGAATTATTCTCCACTCAAATGGAAAAATTGATCCGAATTCCTTACCCAAAATTATAAATTAATAGAAGATTGAAAATTTTAGAGGCAAACGGAAGAAGATGATGATGAAGAAGCAAGTTCAGCAACCATCCAATACCATAAGTGATAATCAGAGATAAAACCAAGATGGAAAATTTTGAAAAACTTGGAAGAAAACCCAATACAAGTCAACAATCATTGAATTTAGAAAGTAGAGAAAAAGGCAAAAAGGCCCGTGTGAAGTGAATGATCAAATGCTCATTTTTTTATCACAACTTCCCTTCGGAGCTGAATCAGATGGAGCTTGGGTACAATGAGTATTCAGTGGGTTTAGTAAAAAAAGGAAGTATTTAGTCATTAAGCGTATATCAGTAATTTCATTCCAACTTTTGGTTATAATTATTATAAAATTAAGGAGGATTTAGTCAAACTATGATTTCTTAGGATTTTAATAGACTTTAAAATCATGGTGTAGTCAAAATATGATTTTAAAGGATTTTAAAAATACATCCAAATCTAAGGATAATCAATTAAGATTTTTAAAATGTCCACGCATGTTAGGTGTAGTGAGAATGCTAAGGATTTGCTAGGATTTTAGTAAATGAGGAATTTTAACAAATTTGAAGGTAGGTGGTATAAATACCACACGCCATCAAGAATCCAACCCTCCACCTTGTGATTTCAAAACCCAATCGCGGAGGCTAGAGTCGAACTGAAGAGGCATTCAAAACCTTCATGGAGTTGTCTTTATATATGAACCTCAAAGACATCATTAGGAACCATGCTTCTTAGGTTCACTAGAGTTTGTAGGAACTGAAAGCCCGATATCAAAACTTGCTTCTTTGTCCACAAGCAGTGAAATAGTTTTCTTGGCATCTCGGGCTTCTTTTCTCAATCCAATGCAGGCCCTCATTCATTTCTCTCTCAAGCCGAATGCATATGGTGTTCCAGACCCATCTCTGAAGTTCTTGCCCGAGCCAGTTGACATACGAGCTTCTTCGAATGGATTCCTTTGCTGCCTGGGTCGTGATGGCTATAAGGCTTACTACATTTGTAATCCTATTACAAGGAAGTGGACAAAACTTCCCAAACCAAATGCGGATCACGGATTCTTGTATTTGATGCGCACAACTTGGCAGAGAATTTGGGACCCTAGGTCTGTGATGGATGGAAAGCTATGGATCCATACTTATTATAAAACATGTCAAAAGCTTAACAAAAGTAAGAAATTTTTTATTTTAAAAAAATCTAAAAATCCTAAGAAATCAAATAAAGAATCCCTACAAATCCATTGAAATCTATCAAAATCCGTATAGAATTGTAAAGTATATTAAAATCTTTTGAAATCTGTCATTCAAAAAATTATATTAAAATCCTCTGAAATCCAAATTAACAACACCCCTAAAGTGGTGGCTATAATACTAGGGTCTAAATTTTGGTTATTTTTTCAAATTTCCCAAAGCATAATTACATCTGCTTAATTAATGGAAAACTTAAATAAGTAGTTTTCAATTTTCAGTTTTTTTATTTTGTTTTTTGTTTTTTTTGAAAATTGAATATTGAAAGTATTTATGAATTGGTTATTAAAAGGGACCTTAGTAAACACACGAAAGAATGAAGAGAAAAAACAATTAATGGCTCGTTTGGATGTGATTAGAGGAGTGTCAGAATCACCTTTAGGGCATATTCATATAATCACTTTAAGCGATCCAGAAGTACATGATGATAAGTTTTTCTCCATATCATTTAAAGAGATTTTCCAAGTAAATTTGTAGAGAAACACATACCCATAAGTGATTTTAGCCCTCTTATAATCATTTTCAAACGAACCCTAGTTAACAAAAAAAAAAAAACAAACCAAATAGATAAACGGTTCACACAAAATACTATCCTAAAAAACCGTGATCAGTTATACGAGGGGAAATTGGCACTCCAAAAAAGTTTATAAACATATGAGGGGAAATTTACTGGCCAAGAAGTATATGATTATCTTTTTTGGTGTCTCAATAACAACTCTCGAGATTGTTGCATCTTTTACACCCTAAAAATAGAGAAAATAGAGTTCAGTTAGCAAACCTTAGATGGTTGCAATCCATTCAAACTGGTTCCTATCGT